TATCATGTTCTATCGTCTGGTCAAACTCCTTACGAATTGGTCCATGGCCACTCGTTTGCCGCGAAAATTGCTCCTTTCGGATGCTCAGTGTTTGCTCAGTGCCTGCCCAAAGTCAAGGCCAAGGGTGCAACGTGGATCAAGGGTGTGTACCTAGGCAGATCCCATAGTGGCGCGCTCAATGTGATCGGCACCTCTGAAGGTATACAATTTGCTCGTACTATCAGGAGGTCCCCTACCGAGTTTGAACCGATGCTCTTGGATGCAGTGAAAGGCGTATCGTGGAATTTGACTCTTGGTGTAGTTGGTGTTCGAGTCCCTCGTGGTGGTCGTCGTATTCGTCTCCCAGCAGTTGTTGAGCAAGCAGAACAAGCACCTCCAGAAGAAGAACGAGATCAGAGAGAGCAGAGTGGACCGGGAGATGAAGCAGGTTCAGACCCAACAACTTCCTCATCCTCCTCTACCTCTAAGAGAGACGTGTCGCTCGACTCCATGTCGCTACCAGGTGAGAGCGGCAGTGGGGGCAGTGGCACTGGATCTGCATCTGGTGGATCACGAGACATCTTGGCAGAGAATGTTGGAGTAGAGGAGGAAGGTAGTGCAGCTTTGGAGAGCAGTCCGAAGTTCAGAAAGCTTGGTGAGGGCCGTGTTGCACATGTTTCATTCATGGTGCGCAGACTTAGAGATGACTTGTATGACCCGTCAGGGCCGATTGAAGTCCCGGAAGTGTCTGAAGAGCATGATCAAGTAGTGGATCCTCAAGACGATGGTGAGTTCAATCAGGGAATTGATGAGATGGACACGATTATGCTGAACAACTACGAAGCGGGTCCACCAGAGCTGAGCGATGAGGCCTTGGCACAACTCGATGCCGAGCGTGATCAGTTCGAACTCGATAGGCTTGTTGGCATGGGTGTATTAGTGAATGCAGATGAAGAACAGTTGGATGATGACACAACCGAGTTGAGCTCAAAGTTCGTTCGCGATTGGAGGTGGAGAGATGACAAGTGGACAAGAAGAAGCCGCCTGGTGGGTCGAGAGTTTCGTTCTCTATCCCCAGAGCTTGATGACTTGTATAGTCCAGCTTCTATCTCTAGTACCACAAAACTCCTTGCGGCAATGGCTGCTACATCAGTTGAGCTAGAGCTGTATTCGCTAGACATTTCAGACGCTTATCAAATACGTCAGGGCCAACGGCCGGGTCTACAGAATCCTGTACAATCTACCAGGTCAACGGGATGGTGCTCAGGGATGGTATGAGTTCTTCAGTGCACTGCTTCAGAAGCATGACATGAAAGTTTGTGAAGTTGCTCCAGCGATCTTTGCTATCCCGGGGAGACTGGTCATCAACACTCATGTGGATGACGGCAAGGTTCTTGCTGCACCGGGCGAGATGGAGAAGCTTCGAGAGCACCTCGAATTAAACAAGTTGAAGGTGAAGGTTGAAGGACCGTGTAGGTTGGATTCCGGTAGCTGTCGCTTCTTGAAGAGGGCGTATGAAGGGCATGGTGACTACATCAGCGTGAAGCAGGAGCCAAAGTATGTTCTGAAGATTCTTGAAGTTTTAGGGCTCCAGAACGCATCATCAAAACCAACGGTTTGGCCATCGGGTATGTCACCTCAGCCAGACGACGACGAACCACTTTCCGCAGATGAACATAGTCTGTTTCTATCATGTACCGGGATCATCTTATACATCTCACCGGATCGGCCAGAAGTGCAGCACGCATCAAGAAAGCTTTCCTCGAAAGCCACCGCGCCTTGCAAGCAGGATCTTCGGTGCCTTAAGCATGTGGCAAGGTACCTCAAAGGCACTATGGATCATGAGACTCGATTCCCAGCTACATGTCCAGGTCGTTCGTTCTTGAATGAGCAGAGTGGCATCGGTGACCACTCATCGTTTGAGGTTGAGAACTTGCTTGAAACGGTGTCGGATGCAGACTTTGCTTCGGGTGATGATCGGAAGTCTACCACGGGCTTTTGCATTTTCTTGAACGGCATCCCAGTGTACTCGACATCTCGTAGGCAGCATGTGATTGCTCTGAGTTCTATGGAAAGTGAGCTGTATGCCTGTTTAGCAGCCGTAGCTGAAGGATTGTTCCTGAAAGAAGTGGTGAGTTTCATCACTGGCAAGAAGGTTGAATTGGTGCATCGGACGGATGCGAGCGCTACTATTGGTTTCTGCAAGAAGGCTGGTTGTGGTCGGACGCGTCACTTGGCAACCAGTGCATTGTGGATTCAGTCAAAGCTTAAGGACGGTAGCTTCAGCATTCGCAAGATCAGTGGGAGAGTGAACCCTGCAGACCTTTTGACGAAGACTTTCAGTGCATCAAAGATGAATCAGTTGCTTTACCATTTCCATGTCTTTGATGGTGAGACTCGCTTGGGTGATGAAGAACACGCGCAAGAGATCATCAGAAGGACCATTTTTGGGTCCACAGGCTTGAAAGCATTCCGACTCATGTTAGCCTCTATGTTGATCGATCGAGCGGAAGGCGTGACAGGTTCAGCAGTTGAGTCCCACGGGACATGGATGAAAGTAGCGATGGCCTCAATGCTGATGCTCATGATTCTTCTTCCAATGCTCCTCATCCTGGCAAAGAACCCAAAGCCTCAGGACAAGGACAAGGAACAGCAGCGCCAGGAACACCGTGGTTTCTATCGGCATCAGCAAGCTTCGACCTCAACTCCGACGACGAGCGGAAACCCAGCGGTAGCAAGGAGAAGAAAACCAGACAAGTTTCCCAAAAGTCAAGACATTCAGCTTATGCCAAGAAAACCCTTAGGCGATTCCTCTATGAACAACACCAGAAGCTCAAGTCAACAGACTTCTATGCCAAGAATCCCAAAGTCCTACAACAACAAGCTGATGAGTACACAAACCTGGTTCACATGGGAAGATTATCAGCCTTGGATGTGGATATGGTTGCTGGTCGTCTCCTTCGTGCTCCTTTTGACGACCTGTATGTGCAGACGGTTGCCGACTATCGTCATCAACATCGACTTGTGGCCTCAACGAGCTCAAAGTCCAGTGGCAAATCCTCTTCTACCGGGAGATCAAAGAGAACCTGAACATCTACGTGAAGTACAAGATCAGCGACTTCCTCATCGAGATGCCGGCGCACTACCTGGAGTACAAGATCAACGACTTCTTCGTGGACAAGATCCTCATGCACATTATGGCCGTGACGACAACAACAATCCTGGTTTGGATGGTGTTACCCAACGAAGACTACACGAGTGGATGGAACAGGAGGTGTTGCCAATACTTCAAAATCATACTCCGCGGTGCCGTATGGACCGTATAGATGGAAACATGAAGGTTCACATTGCAACTCACTATGGGCGCTCATGTCATCGTAGAGATTGCAGTAGCATCACGAAGGACGCCAAAGCCACTCGAGAGATGAGCTTATCACAAGCAGTAGAGCGCGGACTTGCACCGTGCCACCGTTGCCTCTATGACATCTACGAAAGCTTGAAGCAGCAGAATCCGAATGACAAGATGTTCAACATCAAGAAGAAACAACGCTGAGAAAGTTGCGTCAACACGTAGCTCTAACAACTACCTGAGCTGAGACTGGCGTAGCTTCTTTCTGTACTGCGTAGCTTCGTTCTTTAGTGACGTAGCTTTTCTCCCGTACTCTGTCATGTAAGACCTTTGGAATAGCTTTGACAGAGCAGCAGTTTCGCAACTTACAAACTTTCCAGTGTGGCTTCGCAAACTGTACAGTTGGTGCGAATCCAAGAGGGCGTGTTAAATACTTCTGTTACCTATCATACCCCTTTTCAGTGTGCATAACAATGCGCATGTGCAGTACCTGAGACACTCCGCTTTACAAGGCCGTTTTGCTGAGTGAAAAGTTCGCGACCGTATTTGTTAAACAAGTAGCCGAACCGGCTCCACAAGAAGTTGCCAATTGAACCACACGTGGCAAGAAGCTTGTTTTGTCCCGTCGACACGAACCCCTGCAGCCGACAGGTTCAAAGCAGGCAATCCTTGCATGCCCTGCTTTTCGGAAAACTATTTCTTCAGCTTGGCAAATTTACCAGTAGCATGATAGCCCCTCCGGCTGGAACAAGCACATGAATCACAATCCTCAGCCAAATACTCTATAAGATTAACCATGTCTGGCTCCTGCAACAACACAGCCGGAGAGGACTTCAGTGAAGACATCATGAAACATGCTTCTTTGCCATTCGGCAAAGTGACAGTTTTGATTGTGCAAGGCAAGACTGCACTAAGCTTTCTTTTCTTGCTGGCCTTCTGTGGCTCCTTGTTGTTGTCGAACAAGTCGGGTCCTGCATCCTGGGTCTGCTTGGGGCTGAACTCTTTGTAGAGCAACTCTAGCAAGGTCTTCAAGTTGGCACTGCCGGCGATGGACATGTTCTTGGTAGCCATAGATGTGCAAGGGCAAACTAGTTTGCAAATTGAACGGTGGCTGCCAATGATCTTCACGAAGTGCTGCTCGCCATCTTGCACAACCAAGTCGGACGGCAAGGTGATCACATGCCCCTTTGTGTTTCACCTGAAAAATCTTCTCGATGGAGAACTCGTTGTCAGGCGACTCAGCATCCGACATGGTGCTCTCACAAGGCAAGCTTTACTATCTGGCTACTGTCAGCAGAAGATGCTTCATGCAAATTGCAATCAATGCTGGCATGCCATGCTAATGATGTGCACGTGCAATCCATGTCTGCATCCACACAAGTCGCTAAGCAGCCTTCAAACTTTTGTCAAGCATTCTGAAATGCATAGCTCAATCCATGGAGCAAAATTCGCAGCTCAATCCTGCAACCACATGTGCATCTATATACAGCTTATACCTGGTGCCTGTGCATGTTCCTAGCTTGCTTTCCTCTTCTTGGGAGCAGCCTTGGAGGCTTCCTTAGCAAGCAAAGCTTCAGCTGCATGCAACAGGAGTTCCCCCTTTCTAATAGATCTCGAATTGGTGTAGCAAGGGATTGCCAGACCCCCATGCTTAGCATGGGTCAGCTGCATGTTAACGGCCTCCATCCATCGATGGCTTCACGTACCAGAACGGTACGCGCACCGACGTAGCAGTGACATTATCCATATCACCGACAGCCTTCGGCGGGCTCAAAGCATATCCCGAGACCTTGTGGCCAGGCTTGCCATCATCTCGTTTCAAATCACCATAAGCGATGAGTTTGAGCTTGCCCTTCGGGATGTTAATCGTGGCACAAAGGCCCGTGGGCGGGCTCACGAAGCTGAAGCCATCGACCTCCGGGAGATTCACGAACGTGTCGTAGAGCAGGATCTGCATTCGCTGCATGTCAATGGCCTCACCAGCAGTCGAGTTGTTCTCCACGAGGTACTTCGACCAAGCCGCCTGGTCCACTACCTGCACAATCGCCTTCTTCGTTTTCTTCCACTGCTTCAGGTCATCGGACAGTGCAATGGCCACTGTCCATGCATCTTGCATTAGGGGCCGATGTTCAAACCTGCACAAACAACATGCAACATCATGTGCATGCTTTCATGCAGTATGCAAGCAGTCCATGCTCAAGCATGCAGTACATCATGCAATTCAAGTTCAAATCAACTACCAAGCTACTTCGCCGACGTGTCGTTCAGCTCCAACAGCTGAAACACCTGGGATCCGTAGTCGCTGTGCTGATATAGGCCTCCGACCTCCAAATGTGGATGCTGCATCATAGCAACGGTTGATGGGCTAGCCTCCAGCAGGTTCGCTACCTTCGAGGGGCTTGCGGTCGGAGCTGCACTGGAACTCGTGCCCTTAGGACCCAAGAGCTCGGTGGCGAGTGCCTGGTTGATCTCCTCCAAGCTATTCCATTCTTTGTTCTCTCGGCCGAACTTTTGCTTCTGGCTGAGGTATAGCACTGTTCGCACACAACAGCGCCCGAAAATGGTGTATCGCTCACCATCCTTCAAGGGTGCATTCTGTGTGGCAACCCATGCATCCTTCAGAAGCCTCTCTGCTTCAAGAAGCTCGGGTTTTGATTTGGATTTGATGCGGTCCAAATCAGCTTTGACCAGTAGCTTCGCAAACTGGTCTTGGACTTTGGGTGAGGCCACCTGTGCAGCCATGCAAGCCACTCTGAAGCATGGGGCCAGGTTGGCCTCAAGCTTAAAGTCAAAATATGTGATCAACTGAGTGAACTCTTGTCCGAGGCGAATGCTCTGGCCGTAAAGCTTGCCTCGCAAGTTCCATGCTGTGCAAACCTACATGCATGCAATCTGCATGTATCGAAAAGTCATATAAACTATATATGGCAAGACAAGCAACTAAAGGACACAAGGAAATCAACCAAAGGCATCTCGTCGCCCCCCGTGTACTTCTGAGCAAAGAATGCCACCGTCTCCAAGTACTCTTTGCAAGCCGGTTCCCCTTGCATCGTCGCTGCAGTGGCTTCTGCAACCGTCTTGCCCAACTTCAAGCAATTGCTGATCGTGGCAAGGCATTCGATCTATGTCGAAGCCACACACACCGAGTTGTTGCTATTGAGCACAGACGAGTACAGCAACGGGAGACTCGGGAATTGGTCTTCCAAGGTATCAGCAAGAATCAGCCAAGGCCATCCTTGGCTCAGGCACCTTTCGACGGGCTGACCCTTTTTCATGAACGAAGAAGCATTCTTCACAAGGCCCTGCTTCATGGATTTCAAATAGCACGTGGAGTGAGATGAGCCAACCGTGAGAAACAATTCGTCGCCAACCACTTCGGGCATCACCCCTTTGGCTTGGGAACAGCATTTCCGATTTGCTGCAAGTTGCTTGTCACGTTTCACTGCATTGCTGGACATGCAGAATGCTACTGCACTTGTTTCGAGCAAATCAATCCGCAGGCCTTGGCTCATCATCGTCTCCCCCTTTGTCACCATTTCAAAGCTATTCATCATGGCACCTCCCCGATTTTGGGGATGTATGCAAAACCTCTCTGGTCCATGGACTTGCTTGGAGGCGAGCCCGTTGCTCAGCCACAAATCATTAAGCTCCAACACCTTGAGGTTCACTGCCGCATCCAATGCCATGATACGTTCAGCTTCTGCAATGACTGCCGGGGTCAATGCCATGGTAGGCCGCAAGTGTATATACGGCTTGATACTATCTGAACTGCTTTCCAACCAAACACTGCATGCACCATTCATATCTAAGCAGCACATCATATATGCATGCAGCCCGTGGACTCCATGCATGCAGCCAACATAGCTCTCATGCAGATGCAAGACATGCAGCCCACATGGGCTCGAACATCAATCTTATGTATAGCCTTGCAAGCTAAAAGAGCGATCAAGCAATCATGCAGCCAACATGGCTCTCATGTATATGCAAGTCGTGCAGCCCGCATGGGCTCGAATATCAATCTCATGTAGCCCATGTAGGCTAAAGAACAATCAAGCAACCATGCAGCCCAAATGGCCCGCATGTATCATGCCAGCCATGCAGCCCACAGGCTACAAAGCAAAGATGCAAGCAACCAAAACATACCATGTCATGCAACATGCAGCCAGATGTCGGCTAATGCAACCGCACAATATGCAACCGTGACCCCACAAATCTATCAGTTCACACAGGAAAAAAAGGGAACAGCAAGGAAATAATTGCAATTCCTGAAACCACAAAACAATAAAAACAAAGCAGCAAGATAGTGTTTTCCGATATAGGTTTTCCAAGTTAAAGGGGTTAGGAAAATTACAATAACCGTTTATGTAAATAGATAGTCAGAGTTGCAATTATTGAAAATTTAAACATAATTAGCGACTTTGCTAGAACCCCTGAAAGGGATACGTTTTTTGTTAGCACTTAAGTATGTGTTATATGCACATTAGATATGGGATACATGTGGTTTAGTAAGCCATGCAACCATTAAGCAACACCCCAAACATTCAAGTAACAGCGCTGCGCGACACCTCTCGGGACGCACGCGTTCTGTGGAGTTTCCCCTTAGCTTGACGGATGCAGAACGCATTCGGGACGCGCGTTCTGTGGAGTTTCCCCTTCACAGCGCCGCGGGACACACCCGGCGTCACACGCGGGCGTTCTGTGGAGTTTCCCCGTAACAGCACTGCGCGACACTTCTCGGGACGCGCGCGTTCTATGGAGTTTCCCCTTATAGCTTGGCGGATTCAGAACGCATTCGGGACGCGCGTTCTGTGGAGTTGTTTCCCCTTAACAGCAATGCGCGACACCTCTCGGGACGCGCGCGTTCTGTGGAGTTTCCCCTGAGCTTGGCGGATTCAGAACGCATTCGGGACGCGCGTTTTGTGGAGTTTCCCCTTAACAGCGCTGTGGAGTTTTCCCTTAGCTTGACGGATGCAGAACGCATTCGGGACGTAACAGCGCCGCGCGACACACCCGGCGTCACACGCGGGCGTTCTGTGGAGTTTCCCCTTAACAGCACTGCGCGACACTTCTCGGGACGCGCGCGTTCTATGGAGTTTCCCCTTAGCTTGGCGGATTCAGAACGCATTCGGGACGCGCGTTCTGTCGAGTTTCCCCTTAACAGCAATGCGCGACACCTCTCGGGACGCGCGCGTTCTGTGGAGTTTCCCCTGAGCTTGGCGGATTCAGAACGCATTCGGGACGCGCGTTTTGTGGAGTTTCCCCTTAACAGCGTGTGCGACACCTCTCGGGACGCGCGCGTTCTGTGGAGTTTCCCCTTAGCTTGACGGATGCAGAACGCATTCGGGACGTAACAGTGCCGCGCGACACACCCGGCGTCACACGCGGGCGTTCTGTGGAGTTTCCCCTTAACAGCGCTGCGCGACACTTCTCGGGACGCGCGCGTTCTGTGGAGTTTCCCCTTAGCTTGACGGATGCAGAACGCATTCGGGACGCGCGTTGTGTGGAGTTTCCCCTTAACAGCAATGCGCGACACCTCTCGGGACGTGCGCGTTCTGTGGAGTTTCCCCTTAGCTTGGCGGATTCAGAACGCATTCGGGACGCGCGTTTTGTGGAGTTTCCCCTTAACAGCGCTGCGCGACACCTCTCGGGACGCGCGCATTCTGTGGAGTTTCCCCTTAGCTTGACGGATGCAGAACGCATTCGGGACGCGCGTTCTGTGGAGTTTCCCCTTAACAGCGCCGCGCGACACACCGCCGTCACACGCGGGCGCTTCGCGGACGCTTCGCGAACGCTTTAACCACGCTCGCTGGTCAACGGCTGCACCCCTGGACCCCAACCTTTTAAACGGGAACCCTTCTGCGGAGCATTCGGGAAAAGGAAGAGAAAGAAGAAAAGGAAGAAGAGGAGGAGCCCGAGCCGGCGAGCAGCAGCACGGACGGACCCAGGCTACGACTGAGGCTCAAGGTGATGCGGGAGCTGAAGTCGAAGGAGGAATGGGCAAAGAAGTCCTACGACCTACGAAGAAAGAAGGGAACACCAAGATGGGATCCGAAGGCTGCTGCCACCAGGGACGGTCGGGCAGCATATCCTCAAGAAGCAAGGAAGTGCCTGCAGCACGTGCAGGACAAGGCGAAAGAAGACGAGGAAAGCTGTGCAAGAGTACCTGCAGAGGAAGAAGAAAGAATACGAGGGCCTTAAGAAGCCACCGCCAGTGGGGCTCGCAAGGAGCCTGCTGCACCGGGAAGGCATGCTGAAGCCACCGGGTGAAAGGAGAGGCTCCGGCAAGAGAGGAGCCAAAGAAGAAGATAAAAGTGAAAAGGAAGAAGTGGAAGATGAGGAAATGGAAACTGTGAGCGTGGAGCCGGAAGCCGGCAGCGACCACGAAGAAGAGGAGCCAATGGAAGAGGATGTGACCATAGAGGTCAAAGAGTACCAAGAGCCTGGCGAGAAGGAGATCGTGCGGGCAAAGCAGGAGCACGCTGCAAGGATCAGTGCTCTTCGCGAGAAAAGGAACAAGGCCTAGTGCAAAGGCAGAGGCCAGCCAGCCGAAGGCGAGCGAGGCCAAGGCCAGTGAGCCTCAAGCGGCGAGCGCCGCGACGGCAGATGCCACGTCGATGTCTTCGTCGACGGTGATGCAGAACCTTATGCACGGCAGTCTGCTTAGGGGCCTCATGGCGGACCGAAGCCGCCTGCTGAAGAGGCTCGACGAGCTTGCGAAGCTCAAGAAAGAAGAGATGAATGAGAATGATTTTGATGAAAAGGCGAATATCGAGGTGGAGCTGGATAGCATCCTCGAGAAGATCACCAAGCTCAAGGCCGTGCAAAGGCAACACCGGAGAAGCCCGGAAGGTTGGACCAGAGCACGCACGATGCGAGGTATCGTGCTGCACGGGCCAAGGGCGTTCCACACGCCAAGGCGTGGAAGGAGGAGAAAGCCCGACGGCGTGCAGCGGAGCAGCGCCGCAAAGGAACAAAGGAGCGGGCAGAGATCAACGTGAAGACGCAAAGGGACTGGGCCGAGCACTTTGCCACCAGGCCCGGCAAGAAGGTTGACAATGCCAAGGTGGACGCCATGGAGACCGTGGTGATAGATTCTTCTGGGAAGGAGGTCGCCAAGGAAGAGGCGACAGACCTGGCGGCGAAACCTTTGAGCCGCAAGGAGCGGACCTACTACCGCCAGGAGTACGACGAGGAGCTGAAGGAGAGAAAGGAAAAGGTCGAGAAGCCGCGGGACCCAGAGAAAAGAAGGAAGATCAACGAGAAGAGAGCGTTGAGACGGAAGCGGCTTGCTGACAAGACCAAAGGGAAAGGAAAGCACAAAGGGAAAGCAAAGCAAAGAGGAGAGAAAAGAAAGGAGCCCGAGGAGGAGGAAGAAGACGATGAAGATGAAAGTTGGGGCGGATGGCGGCCCGACAAGGGGCCCGAGCACCCCAAGGATCCTCCCGAGGGCGACGCAGTGGTTGCCTCTGTTGAGGTGAGCCTGGCCACGAATGCCGTTTCGGCGTCCGGCGGCCAAAGCCAAGGTCCGCAGGACCAGCGTGTCGAGGTGAACTTCGACAGCGGTGCCGCCGTGACGGTGGTGCCAATGAAGTATGTATAAGTGATTCATCTAGGCCCGGGGGGCGTGACGCGCAAGAGGGTTCAGGGCATTTGGAGCATGGGTTCCAAGCCCTGGACTTGAAAATGATTTGTTGTAGTAGGGTTTGATTGTTTTTCCATCGATCAGTCAGCACAAGAACAACAGCCTCTCCAAACAAGTATCGTCCCTTCCCAAGAAAACGCGGCACGTTTTGGAACAAAATCGTCGTGAAAGCTACAAACCTACAACTTGTGATGTAGCCAACCCAAACTGCAAACCGCAAGCAAGCATATCTTCCTGACTTTGTCGGCTGTTTTATGAACTCGAATTCCGCGATTTCTCAGCCGCCGGGCCGAAACTCGATTGGGAATTGGGAATCCGAATCGCAGCACAGTTCAGGCACATGACTCACGTGACAGTGACAGCTTGACAACTTATCATCCAATCTTGCAAGAGGACGTAGGCAGTAGGCATAGCCTAGCTTGCTTGAGGTGTTACATTGGATAAGCCAAGATAAGCCAGATCTTTTCGTTGTGTAGTGTCATAGTGCTATGGCAGAGCCTGCCATCTTTAGGCTTCCAGATCCTGGGGACGGTGAGCTTGAGGACAGAGAGTCCGATGCAGAATTTGCAGAAGCCCAGGAAGCTCCCAGGTCTGCAGGTGCCCTGCGTGTTGTGCGACATAGGGCCAAACTTCGAAATGATTCACGTGCAGAGGTTTTGTTTCTGTATGCGAAAACCTGTGGGAAGGAGCCGAAGCCAGGGCAGCCAGGGCCAGAGAGCCGCCGCAGCCAGTCATCGCCAAGGGGCCGGGCGGCCGGGCCGGCTCAGGCTCAGACTCCTCAGACGATGCTGCGGGTTTTTTTTGGACGCCACCACAAAGATCCTGGACATGCAGTCCTAAGATCTAAGATTTTTGGGCAAGAGGAAGGATCCTGGGCCTGGTGTCCTAAGATCCGTGCTCGAGAGGTAGGATCCTGGACCTCTCGTCCTAAGATCCGGCCTCGAGAGAAAGGATCCTGGACCCAGTGCTCGCAGACGAGGTCTGAAGCCGTAGGCCGAGGTAGCTTCGCAAGCGCTAGGCCGTAGAGTAGGAGCCCGACTGGCCTTCACCCGGAAACCTGAACCCTTAGCTGACGAAGCCTATAGGCCCCAAGCAAAGCTACAGCTTTTAAGCTTTTAGCCGGAAACCAGAACCCTTAGCTGACGAAACCCTGAGGCACCAAGCAAAGCTAGAGCTCAAAGGCCATGTCGGAGGTAGCTCCCCTGTTGCAGTCACCAAGCACACTCGTGCCAAAAAAGATTCGTTTCAGTTTTGTTTTTGTGGGGCATGTTCATCTCATAAAGGGTTTTAAGGCCACAACAGGACAGAACACAGAAAACACAGTGAATTCTCAAGGGGGCGGCTTTGGGGTTCTTGGGGGGGGGGTTTGGGGGCCCTGAGGGGGCCCTTGGAGAGGTCTGGGGGGGGATTTAGCACGTGTCCGGGGTCGTGTCCGGGATGTCCGGGGTCGTGTCCGGGATGTCCGGGGTCGTGGGGAAGGTGTCCGGGATGTCCGGGGTCGTGTCCGGGATGTCCGGGGCAGGGCCCCGCGGGGGGTGTCTGGGGCTGTTTGGGGTGTCCCGCCCATGTCCCGCCATGTCCCGCCCATGTCCCGCCATGTCCCGCCCATGTCCCGCCATGTCCCGCCCACGTCCCGCCATGTTCCGCCCGTGTCCCGCCACGTCCCGCCCATGTCCCGCCCATGTCCCGCCCGTGTCCCGCCCGTGTCCCGCCATGTCCCGCCCGTGTCCCGCCCATATCCCGCCCATGTCCCGCCCATGTCCCGCCCATGTCCCGCCATGTCCCGCCCATGTCCCGCCATGTCCCGCCCATGTCCCGCCCGTGTCCCGCCATGTCCCGCCCGTGTCCCGCCCATGTCGGGTTATGGGATGCCCAAATCCGCACAATGCGTGCAGAAATCCGCATTGATTATGCCAAAATCCGCATATTTATGCCCAAAACAGCATAATGCATGCAGAAATCCGCATTGATCATGCCCAAAACAGCATCGCAAACTTGCCAAATACGCCTGTGACTGAGTGAGTGCGCAAAGGTCTTCAGTGTCCGAGTGGTGTGTCAGCAGATTCCAGACCCGTTTGTGGTAGTTTGTGCAGTGCTCTGTGCTTCCCCTTAACCCTAAACCCCTAAGCCCATAAATAAAAAAATCAAAGCATATAGTATTTAAAAAAATACTGGTCGCTATAAAACTGTAGGCAAATCCCATACAAAATACAACAAAAATCTAAAAAATAATAATATGATAGACCACGAAAAAAATAAAATCAATAGTCCCCGACTTCGTCCGATGCACTCTTAAAAGATTGAGCGTGTGCAGGATCTGAACACAACTCTGCACGGCAGAGTCAGGGAGTTTGGAATGCAGCTGGTGCAAGTGATGGAGGAAAAAAATACTCTTCTGGCTGAGAAGCATGCGAGGATGATCACTGACTTGAGCTTGGCGCGTTCTGCCCGCGAAGAGCTTGAAGAGCTTGGGGCACTTAACTTTGATGACGACGACGATCAATGCTGAGAAGCATCTCCTGAGGCTTGGCCTTGAAGCTTCTGCTGCCGTCCTTGGGCTGCTGGGGAGCTTTTTCGGCCAATGCAGTTTTTGGCCACGGGCCGCAGATTTTTTTCATTCAGGGCAGCAGGCTCAGGGTGCTACCGCGAAGGCTTCGCGATGCGCCCAGTGCCAGCCGCCTTGAAGAAAGAGGCTCATGGGTAGTATGTATACGGCTAGAAAGGCAGGGGAATGCAGGGGACTACAGAAACCAGGTGCTCCGAGCGTGAGTGTCGGGAGTCGGTAGCCAAACTAGGGGCTGCAGCAGCACAGGGGAAAAAAGAGGACCTGAGCTTTTGTAGTTTCTGAACCGTAATAGGGATGTGTTATGGGCCTTGTTAGGGAGGGTTTTGGACTGACGAGGGCTTGTGCGTGCTACCAGAAAAGGACCGATTTTGTTTTAGGGGGACGTGTTTTTTTTTTGTTGGGAAAACACAGCTTTTGAGTGAACGGTTTAAAGACTATTAGAACGAATGCATTTTTTCTAAAACGGTTCATAACCGTTTTTTTTTTCGACCCCGTTTGCAGCAAGGGTTAGCGCCCCCCGGGCCTAGATGAATCACTTATAGAAGTATGGCCGTGGAAACGAGAAGCCTCGTGAGGAGATGAAGTTCAAGACGGCGAGCGGCCAGAACATACCCGACTATTGGCCGATTCGGCTCAAGGGTACGACCTCGAGCGGCAACTGTGCCACACTTTGCGGCCGCCTTGCAGATGTGCACCGAGTGCTTGGATCGGCCTCGGATATCTGCCGATCCCACCACGCCGTTCTTGGAGAGAACGGTGGTTACCTTATCCCGAAGGGGAACGAATTCGGAAAGGATTTCGATGGAATGATGAGGAAGCTGCTCAAGAAGCACCGCAGCAACCCGAAGAGCGCTACGAAGCTCCACGTGCGACGTGGGGTTTACGTCTTTGACCTTGCCTGCGCGGCCCTTTTGCGGGGCTGCAAGACGCGTAAGGCCAAGGGTGAGAGGTAGCGAAGTTTCACCGGTAGAGGTTTCACCTAGTGACGGAGTGGCCCCGGCGGTTGGTGAAAACCAGGGGCCCGTAGAAGAGAGTGAGAGAGTGGAGAGTAGAAGGAATGAAGGAGAAGAGGAAGGAGAAGAAAGGATCGAAGGAAGAATGGAGGAGCCAGAAGACGCGCCCGGAGAAGAACAAAGGAAGGTGAACGTTCCTTTGGGGCCGTCTCAGCCCACCGCGAGGGAGATCGCGGAACACGAAGCGAGTGGACACGCGGTCCACAGAAGCTGGTGCGTGCACTGCATGCGCGCCAGGGGAAAAGTGCAAAGCCATCCGAGAACGGATCGTTCTGGAGAGGGCGAAGTGCCAGCCCTCCATGCTGACTACTTCTTTCTGGGTAGCAGCAAGGAACGTGATGATATCATGCCACATCTGGTGGTACGATGCGACAGAACCAGAAGAACGTGGACAACAGCGTTGCCGCAGAAGGGCGTGACACCTTTCAGCACAAACTGGTTTTGTTCTATCGTGCGGGAAGCCGGTTGGAAGCGCATGGTGTTGTTTTCGGATAACGAGCCAGCGCTCGTTGCACTGAAGCAAGCAGTGGTGGAAAACGTAAAGGACGTGGAGATCACTCTGAAGGAGTCTCCGACCTCGACGGATGAAGAGAACGCGCCGAGCAATGGCATTGCTGAGTCTGCTGTTCGGGAAGTCAAGCGAATGATCAGGGCTATACTCTCAGACCTCGAGAGCAAGCTCAAGATCAAGGTGGACCCGAACCACAGCGTACTGACTTGGATAGCCAGACACGCGGCGTTCCTTCTGACAAGGTTCAGACTTGGAGATGATGGAAAGAGTGGTTACCAACGTGCTGTTGGAAGAGAGTGGAGAAGGCCGACAGTGGTGTTTGGGGAACAGATCCTGTTCAAGCCTGTGGGTGCCATGGGCAAGAAGAGGAGTTCACCTTTGGAGCCACGGGTGGCCATGGGACGCTATGTGGGTACAGCGAGCAGGAACACGGACCTCCTCGTGATGACGCCCACTGGTGTTGTGAAGGGACACTCTTTACACCGAAGGCCGGAGGAAGACCGTTGGTCGAAGGAGGGGTTCGACCAGTTGAGAGGTTTGCCGTGGAAGTGGACCAACCCAGTTGAGCGAGCACCGCCCAACCGTGTGGACATGCCAGAGCTTGTTGGTGAACAGCCTGTTCCAGACCCTAAAGAATATAGGGCGAGGAACCTCTACGTGCTCAAGAGCGACGTGGAAAAGTACGGCTACACCACCTTGTGTCCAGGGTGTGAAGCGTTGATGCTGGGATTGCCACAACGGAGCCACAACCCCGAGTGTCGGCTCCGCATCCAAAGGCACCTCGTGGAAACCGAGGAAGGAAAGCAAAGGGTGCAAAGAGCACTCGACAGGCAAGAGAAAGACTACTCCACGAAAGCGCGGAAGAAGCGAAAGGCCGAAGAACAACCTGTTCTAGAAGGTCAACCTGCTGATGGTGAAATCGCTGCTGAAGAAGCAGCCGGTGCGCCACTTGAGCGCCCTAGCCAAATGCAGGACGACAGCTCTGCTCAGCGGACCCAGAAGCGCGAGGCAGAGCAGCACGTCGAGGACCTTTACAGGGAAGAGCAGGACACCGACGAGCCCGAAATCGTCAGAGCGAACCTCCAAGGCGGAAGCTCAGGTTCTGGAGGAGAGAACACGACCTGTCTTACAAGCAGGTGGAGGAAGCTCAAATGGATGATGTGAGTCATCTAGAGAAGGAGTTCCACTCAAGGGGGATGCAGTGTACGAGGAAGGCAGAGGAGATATCCAGCCTAGTTGGTTCACTAGGCGTGGACGTCAAGGCCTCTGTTCCTCTGAACGAGGGACTGTGTCTCAGCGTTGAAGACAAAGGCTGGAAGCTTCAAAAGCAGGACGAAGGTGAAGCCTTGTTCAAGAAGCTAGAAGCTGAGAAGCCAACGCTACTTGTGGGACTACCGCCTGATGGTCCGTTTGCGGGAGTGCAAAGAAGCTACAACTCCCTCCAGAAGGCGAAGAAAGAAAAAGAGAAAGAAGTGCTGGAAGCAGGGAGAAAACAGGTGAGGACCTGCGTCGCAGCCTACCAATACCAAGTGGGACAACAGAAGTACTACCTTCAAGAGTGCCCCAAGGGAGCAAAGTCTTGGGAGCACACTCAGTACCAACAACTGAGTGAAGAGTCCTACGTGGTTGAAGGGACAATGTGCAGGTGGACTGTGGACAACAGCGGAGGAAACCTCCAAGGAGCGAACTTCAAGAAGAAGACTCGCTGGATCACGAACTCCGCTGCCCTAGCTGCAGCATTGAGGAAAGTGTGTACACAAGGACCGAAGGAAAGAGTTTGGCAAAGAGACTTCACGTTCGAGGAGGGGAAGGTTGCAGCGAGGCTGCGCTATCCTCCCAAGCTAGCTCATGCGATTGCCAAGGGCATTCGAGCGCAGTTGGTGCTCGATGGTGAGCTTCAAGCAATCGGTTCTGTGGCTGGGCCTGATCCACACGAAGAGCCGAACTTCGAAGAGCATCACTACGACACCCTGCCGAAATGTTGAATTCTGTACATAGGAACGCCCCACACCTTTGGTGAGCCCAGGCTACGGTATAGTATTGTATAGTTGTATACTATGTGACCGACGCAGCGCCTTTGGTTCAAGAGTAAAAGCGTGACCGCTCAGGGTTTTACAGTTTAACTTGGTAGCGGAGCAAGTAAGCCTGAAGATCCAGGAAACCTGTGGGCCGAAGGAAACCGGATTGGAACCGGAAGAAGTCTACGAGGATACTTGGAAACTGGACAGTGAATCTTGGACTTCGCCATGAAGGTGATCATGGAGAAGATGTACAAGGACCTCTTGCGATTTGTGTTTGGATTCTGGATGAGTACCACGCTGAGCCAAGGAAGTATTCAGGAAACAAGTTGCTTGTGAATGAACATGTCTCACCTTGTTATTCGACCGCAGCCGTTTACCCTCAAAGAGGAAATTTCGGATTGTGTATGGGATCAACTGTATCCCCGAGCGGAAGAAGGATCTCTCGTCCCAGCGGCAGGAGCTATGGAACTCAACGACAGCAAAATCTTCCAGGATGAACCCCGCCAAAAGGTATCGCGATTCACAGAACAAGAACCGTTGCCTAGAGTGGCAAGGCCTGGCACGGAAGAGGTCATGGCCGAACGAACTGCGGAGTTGGGAGAAATGCGACAGAGTGCAGAAGAAAGAAGAGCTGCATTGGTGGAGCAAGCTAACCTGCAGACGCCAGGAAGAAAAGCTGCAAGTACTCCAGCGAAGACTCCAGGATCAACTGGAGGAGGAAAGTCGCGAGAAGAAAAGAAGAAAGAGAAGAAGACTGCCCGGAAAGAAGCCAAGCAAAGTAGGAAGGCCGAGAAGGCTAAAAGGAAGATGGAAGAAGAAGCCACTCGACGTAAGTTGGATGAAGCTATGGAAGTGGCAGGAACGATTGAGAACGTCATGTTGCTTGAGAAAGAGTATAAACGGTTCAGACTTGACAGGAAGTATCAACCCCCCTTCCTTAGTATTTACAGCCAGATGTTGCAGAACAATTGGCAGTTCAAGCCCAGATCTTTCTACGATCCCCCAGGAAAGGATCCAGAGACGGAGCGTCTCGAAGCTCTCAAGGAAGAAGAAGAGAAGAAGTCCGAGGCGGAGTCTCGGAAGCGTAAGCTTGAAGAGCTGGAAGAAAAGAAGCGTACCTTGGAGGCTGAGTCAAAGCAGAAGCAGCAAGAACTCGAGGATGAAGCAAAGCGTATCCGAGCCGTGGAAGAAGCTGAACGGAGAGCCAGAGAACTTCAGGAAGCCAACCGTAAGAAGGGCAAGATCAACGTACCAGTGGAGACTGTGGATCCGGATGAATGGTACCGTAACAAAGCCCGTGAAGTCGTGGACCGGTTGCGCTCTCGTAGAGAAGAGCAAGTGGCAATTTCCCGTAAAGCCGAAGAGGATTGGCTTGGAGCCTGCAGAACCCTCGAGAAAGCCCAGAGTGGATTCTTGGTGGCTTCGGAAAAGCTGCAAAGTGCCATGGGAAGAGCCATCAAGGTCGCAGTACGCTACGGAGAGGAAAAAGGCCTTGAAAAGATCTTGCAGTCCATCCACGATGGAACGACTTTGGTGCAGGAGCCAGCCGTCAAGGCAATGCCGCAGCCAAAGAAAATGCCCAGACTGGATGCGAAGGATCCCAAGAGTACTGGAGAAGACAAGGAGAAAAGGATCCCGGATAAAAGAAGGTCTGGAAAAGGTAAGAAGCAACCACCTGAGGAAACCCCTGGATGGGAATGGACAGAGCGGATCTACGAGGAGGATTGGCCTGAGTCGCGCCACCAGCTGCGTGACGGGGAAGAATTCCTCCCAGGAAGTAAGCCGCCGTTCACCAGGGAGTGGACGCATGAAGTGGCAAAGCTTTTGTCTAGCGTGGCAATGCGAGGAATCGGAGAGAAGGATGGAGAGGTACAGCCTCTCTGGGAATTTCCCTGGCAGATCTCTTCGTATCAAGACTTTGAGGAAATCAACTCGCAATTGGAGCTTTACAGTGTACGCCTCATCCCGTCTCGACGGGAAAGTAAAGGAGCTGGACGATCCATCGAAGTATGGAGCATGCACCCAGCCGGGAAAGGCCGTTTGGACATCGAGCCTACCGAAACTTCCCGGAAACGTACTGTATTCGGAAGCCTACCCCCAGGAAAAAGTTTGTGCTCACTATGTTGGCATGGTGGACACTGGAAGAAGGCATGCAAGTTCAGTGCGCTATGCTTTTGCCTGTACGAGCCTATGCTCACAATATTGGATCGTGGAAACAAGACGAGGCGACTGTATCCGATGCGAGGAATATCTCGCCCAGGATACCAAGGAGATGCAACGAACCCGTACAAGAAATTTTTCCCGATGCTCGCCCTTTGCGATTTCGGGAGTATGTCCAGAGAAGTATCAGAAAGCAACAAGAAGTTTTGGGGAAAAGCTAAGGATGAAGGAGGCTTTCCAGTGCTACACCAGGATGAGCAAGCAAATCGGAAGAAGGAGGCCAGTCAAGCTGCTACAGCGAAGAAGAAGGCCGAGCCGGAAAAGCCTAAGCAGGATATCTGGACAGCAAAGGAGGATGAAAAGAGTAAGAACGTGGTGGATTTGGTTGAACAAGGAGAAGAACCTACCACGGAAGCACCGAATCGAGAAGAACTTCGCCGTCAGTATGAAGAGCACCACAAGGCAAAGTTGCGCAGGACGTTGGAGTCGCGTGAAGCCCAGAAAATTCTGGATGAAGCACATGAAGAAATCAAAAGACGAGCCATGGATGCCAAGAAAGCAAAGGATGCCGGAAAGGATCCAGAAGTTCCAAAGGAAGCGGTTCCGGAAGAATCAGCAGTACCAGAAGCACCCGCAGTGCCGGAAGAACCTACGCCTGGTAAAGGAAATCCAAAGCAAAATAAAGCCACAAGCGATGACAAAATGTCTGATGCGGAGTCAGAGTCAAGCGAAAGTTCCGAACGTGTGGATGATCCGGAAGACCCGGACCCGGATTCTTCGGAACTCGACGAGAAGGCCGCTAAAGAAAGCAAGAAGCAACACGAGCAAGCTGGAAGAAGTGAACCAGCCGAGCAGATCGACAAGAATGATCTGTAGGGCGCTTGAGCAACTCGCTGCCCCGCGTACGAAGCTGCATACAGCAAACGCTGTGCTTGTACTAATAGCACTTCAGCTCATTTGGAGCTGCGTATTCAGATCAACTCTTCTTGCAGGAAGAATGCAAAAAGGAGTCACGTGCACTTGTATGCGAAGGAAAGTGAATCGGATGCACAGTATTCGTTGGAGACGTAAAGTGAGTGGATGCAAGCGGAAATTCAGAGCAATGGTACTTGTTTGTTTGCTTGTCAGGACGGAAGCTATGCAAGGACCTCAAGCAGCACAACCATCATCAGCTGCCGGAGTACCAGTACAAGATGGAGCAGACGGAGATGGACTAGGCATGGTACCTACTCAAGAGATACTTGGACAATTGGTCCAGAACTCCAGAGTGACTACGGAAGCTATCCACCAGCTAGTTACCTGTTCTGGTAATCAAGGAAACGCAGGAAGCTCGTATGAAGGTATACTTTCTAAGGCATTGGAAGGTGCAGTGAAGATGTTGGGTAGACCACCATCATTCGGTGGAGGTAAAACCGATGCACAAGATTTCATGGACTTCAAGGAGCAATTGTACAACATTCTTGCGTATGCGGAACCCAAGTATTCGGATGCCTTTAAGAACTTGGAGAAATTGGGAGACCATGAAGTACTACCAGCTACTTTTCGGATGAAACGTACCAGACTATGTCTACAAAGCTGTACTCGTTACTGAATTCTTGGTTGTCAGGAACCACGAAGCAGCACGCTCGAGATCCCAGTATTGCTGGATCCCGGAATGGGTTTGCTTTGTGGAAGTCATTACTGAGGATGTACCAGCCAAGTACTCGAAGTCGGAGTTTAGCTTTAATGCAAGCGATTCATGGATACCCAAACTTTTCACCCGGACTAAGTGCTGTCGCACAGATCTCGAAGCTGGAAGAACTAGTCAAGGATTACGAAAGATGTAGTGGACAAAGCTACCCTCGAGAGATTCTCCTGTCGACTCTCTTGAGATGTATTCCTAGTCCTTTGAAAGAACACATCCATCTTCAGCTTACGGACAAAACCACATACAGCCAAGTAAAGGAAAGCGTACTAGTCTACGAGCGGACGACAAGAAGCTGGATGCCGAGCCAAGTGTACCAACCCCTGGAATCAGGACATGGTCAACAGTATCTAGGAGCAGTGGAGAACGCACCCACTGGTGGAGGACACCAAGCTATGGAAGTGAATCGAGTAGAGTACAAAGGAAAAGGATGGAAAGGAAAAAGTACTGGAAAAGGAAAAGGCAAGAAAGGCTATGGTAAGATGTTTGGAGGATTTGGAGCCATGCAAGCAGGTCGAGGATTCAGGTTTGGTCGAGGAAGAGGTAAAGGCAAAGGTCGAGGTAAAGGCAGAGGAAAAGGTAAAGGCAGAGGAAAAGGTAAAGGTAAGAAAGGTGGAAAAGGTAGAAAAGGTAAAGGAAAGAGCAAAGGAAAAGGAAAGAAAGGAAAAGGGAAACGACTTGGAAGAACAGTTTGTAGACTTTGTCATCAGGAAGGACATTGGGGACATGAATGCCCCAACAGACATTCTGTTCGGAACGTGGAAGTCGAAGAACAGCCCCAAGCGGAAGTGTATCCCAACAATCCACCAAACCAGGAACCTTACCCAAGACCTAATGTTGTCGAAACTGGCAGTATTCGCCAGACGACAAGCCGACCGGACCCAAGAATTGTTACCCGAAGAGTCGGAGTGTCAAGTGGGTCAAGTGGATTCAACCCAAAACCATTTTACCATATAGCTACGCCCCCGGAAGAATATCCGGAGACCTTCCCGATCAATTCAGAGGATGAGTCCGACATCGACATCACGTATGTCAACACCATCCGTATGGTTCGAGATGTTGCAGATGAAACTGCAGAAGGTGAGGATATCACCAACCCATTTTTCGGTGAACTACCCAG